GTGTGATGAAGTTGACTTCCAGAGTCAGCTCTACCCGCTGCGCGTGTTCCAGGTTTTAACGAGTTAAAGGGCGAGTTGGTTTCTTTTCGCTTGCAGAACACGCGTGGAACTTTCAGAGCCGGCAAAAACCAAGTTGCGAGTTCATCCTGGGTTACAGCGTAATTTGCTTTGAAAGAAAAGTAAAATGAGCCGTGTTTTTAGCAAGCCTGGCAAAGAAGCGTTGCAAAGTGTCGCTTGATTTATGATTCCAGGGGTGGATATTCTAATCTCAACTCAATATCTCAATAGCTTGAGGTTTTTGGTTGTTTAAGTAGGATGCGGTTGCCTGTGTTAAAGTGCATTGTTCTTTGCAAAAGACTTTTTAAATGCTTGTATTTAACTAAGTACTCTCATAGAATCTGACAGAATCGAAACCATCTCCACTTGAGAAACGTAACTAATGCTTTGAAAGACTGGGTCTGGCGGCACCTTAAAATGCAGCCTCATTTTCTTGGTCAGCTTGGGTCCACTGTGTGTCTTCTGTAGGGGAAGAAAGCTCTTTAGGTATGTTGGCATAATCTCCGATTAGAAGATGAGCGTGTTTCTGCCATTGCAACTGAGATTAGTTAAGTCTCTTTTTTGTGTTCCTACTTTTTGTATGCTTAAAGTTAAGATGCAAATAATCCTTCAGGTTTTAGTTCTTTCTGTGGGGATTATGAGGATCAGTTAATGTGCCTGAGCTTGTTTGGGATGAAGCTAATGTAGAGGTGTTATACTGTGTTATCTCTGCATACAATAACCACCTGGTGTTTGTGCTTCCATGGGTCTTGAGAAAAATCCTGGTTCCGCTGGAATCAATGGGAAATTTTCACTTGAGAACAAAGGGGTGAAGCTGCTGCCCTCGATTTTCAGGCTCAGTGGGGACCACGAGATGGCAAGAGCAGGTGTTTGAGACCTGGCTCTGGGCAGCCAAAATCCTCAAATCTTCGCTTCGTTGCATTTCTTCATGACTGGTTTGTTTTTGCAAAGATCACAAGAGCTGACCTCGTGCTGTCATTTCCATTTGCTGTACTGGCATGAACATGTACAATTACTAGAAGATATTCTGCTGTTTTTTAGGAGGGCATATGCTACGACACAAAAAAACTTAATCCTTAGTTACACGCTGCCGGTCAGGATTCCTTCTCAAGACGACATGTGCACGTAAAATGCCCGTGTCATTTCAAACGTGACATGGTGCTGCGGCAGCAGCAAAGTATTAGAGACCCTGCAAAAAGTTCATTTGGTCCAGGTACCCCCTTCAGAAAGTCATGGAGGCTGGAAATGCTGAAGCCATTCAATGGCGAAGTCGGGCTTTGTCTGTAAGAGTCCGCTGCGGGCTGAAGGTGAAAAATGTGTTGGGGTGAGAGAAGTTGTCTGTGCGTGGTGAAGGCACCGTCTCCATGGGAGCATTCGGGGATAAGGCGGTGGGGGCCTGCCCGTAGGCTTTCTTTTGTGCCTCTTGAGATGGCGCAAGACAAGGAAGCGAGCGAGCTGTGTTTGCTCCGTATGCTGGCGTACAATGACAGAAGGATGTCCCTTTCGCAGTGCAGTTGGGTTGAAAACTGCAGCTGGCAGTTAAAAGGCAATGTTCTGGCTTTCACTTTGGAGGCAAACAGGTAAGATTGTAATAATTCGAGACGTACCTCCCATTCTGTTGGCTACGCCTGTATTGGTGATAGAAGGATATTAGTGTTATTTATTTGAAAAACATCAGTTGTAGGGGCGTTAAAATAGAAGTGGGCTGTTTTGCTGCTTCTGTGAACAGGTCAAATACCAGGATAAAACCTGAACACAGCTATGTATAAAAACACCCTGGTGCTTTTTTGGCAAGTTATTTGAATATTTTTTTTCTCACTTTGGCTATTGGCGTAGAACACAGGATGGCTAAGGATTGGTTTCAAAAGCACATGAATTTTACTTCTGCTTTGTAAATGAGCCCTGTGCATCAGCTGTGGCACACACCACAACTGACTTCTGTCCATGCACCCTGGTCACTGCCTCTCCTCAAAGCCTGGGAAGACTAACGTGCTCTGTAAGTGATGTCCTGCGTTGTGCTTTTCTGAACGTTAGGTAGAAATATGGTCTTGTTTGTGCAGAAGCAGGGAAGGAAACTTCCTAGACCTTCTCTTTCTAGCACACTTATGTGAGGCAGTGAAAACCTGGCTTAAAATACTTTGCTCGGGTAAAAGAGCTGAGGTTAAATATTAAGAGGCTATTAAGGCTGCAAGAAGCTGCTTGAGACTGATATCATGAAGAAACCAGGTACTGATGAGTGGATGTTAGAGGCTTGAAAGATATTTCTGAAGAGCTCAGGCCACTGCTGCACGCCTTGAGTCCTTAATCATGGTGGTGGGGTTTTCTTCTTGCTGATTTTCCCTCTTAACCAGCTGTTGGCAATGGGAGCTCCGTGCATAATGTAACTCGTAGACCCATTATTGGGTGCTGAATGCTTTCATTTGGGAAACAACAGCACCAAACATCTGCAAAACCCTTTGCTGGATCGTTCTTTTGTTGCTTTTCTTCTCCGAGTTTGCCTTTCTTCTGTTGGACCCATCAGCACACTCTCTGTTTGTGCAGGTTTGGGGTAGCCTTGCTGCTCCAAGGCTGCTTTGCTGCAGAGTTAAGAGAACTTTAAATTTTGACGTTGCAGAGACCACAGAAATGTTCCATGTGCAGTGGTGGTGAAGATAGATAATTATGGGGTAAATGTCACTAGTGGTTAACACCTCGCAGCCACTGCATGTGTATTTCTGTTATGTAACTGCCAGGAATGAATTTTACAAGGCTTGTAGCTTTTTTTTTTTTTTTAATGTTGGAAGATGATAAAAGATAATCTGGTGTGTAAAAAAAAAAAAGAAAGAGGGGGGAAAAAAAAAGCTAGAGGAAAGAAAGGAGGGAGGAAGCAGGTAGCTGTGATGCTTAAGAAAATCAACCTCCTGTCAATGAAACCTCCAGGCAAAGTGTTGAGAAAAGACTCACCTGGACAGGTTCGATCTGTGCCTCCAGTCGAGCTCCCCAGCCCAAAGTTTGGGCATTGAAGTGGGAGATGTAAACACCTGCAGCTTATGGGGTCGTCGGAGCCATCTGCCGAGTGTTCGGCGCTTCGGGAAACCAGGCCACATAGGTCAGCCTCAACATTTTTATTTTTTCAAAAATTTCTGGCATTTGATCCCTGTCAGAATTTTTGAATGGGAATGAGGCTTGCGTTCCCGTGAAAACCGAGTAGGTCTTGTGAAGCTGAGAGGCTTTCCCCTTTGTGTTGGAAAAGGTATGTAAAAATATCTTGTACTTTGTGCTTTGTAGAAATTCACTTCATACAGAGTTGCCGCCGCTGTGCTGTGCTCACAGGGTGCAAAATGAGCTGTTGAATCGAAAGTGTAAGTTACTCTGTTCTATAATTTTTTAAAGCTAGAAAAGAATCCCTTTCCTGGGCACGCACCAGTGCTCAAAACGGAAAGAAATTGCACAGTGAAACGTAACAATTATTTGGTATTTATTTCTTTGAAAATTCTGCTTTTTTGATTTTGTTTTTGGTCAAGGAAATGGGAATTTGGAAGGTGATGGTGGCTGTGTCATGAATGGTTCCAAATATTAAGCAACTCAGACTGCTTTTCTGTCTCTTGCAGATTCACCGGCAGGCATGGACCTAAGTAACTCCCAGGAACAGCCTGTGGCTGCAGGTAACGTGCTGTTCAAGTCTTGCACGCTCTCTTGAAAATTTTAAATTTCAGTGGAGAAAAAGAAATGAATTGCAGCTTGTTTAGATTCCCGGCTCACTGAATAGCACAGTCACAAAGATGGGAATTAGAGATAAAAATAAAATTCTGGAATTGAAGTTCAGTGTAGCAATGGAATATAATGCTAAAGGGGAAAAAAAAGAAAAGACTGTATAGTAGAGAGGAAATGTTTTCAGAAGAAAACTGGAAGTTTTGATTAGGGAAGCAAGAATAATCTGATTCTTTTGGTTGACTGCATTTCTGAAAATAGGAAAACAAGCCTCTTGTGGGAGTTGGAAAAGCGATTTACTCTCTTGTTAATCAAAAAATACTTTTTTTTTTTTTCTCAAATCCAGTGTAATATTTAGCTTGGGAAGGATTGTTTGGGTTTGGCTTTTTTTTACTATCCAGCTGTTAATAAATTAAACAATTTTAACAGCAGTTTCACACTGTTGCAGTGTACTTTAAAAATTCACAGGATTGTTGAAGGAAAACACCATCAGTTGATTTGTGTTGGTTTTTCTTAAATGCTGATCTGAAACGCACAGAAATCTGCACAATATTGAGTTAATCTGTGAATTTTCTGAAAGAGGCTTTATTTGAAAAACTATAGTGAAGAACTTGGCTTTATTTCAGAGGCGGGAGGCTTGGATTTCCGGGATGTTCTGATGCCACAGCCATCAGCAGAAAACTTTCTGATAATGCTGGAGTTTAAAAAGGCGTTGCATGGAATAAGCAGAGGAGGGCAATGGGGCTCAGGATTCCTGGGGCCAGAGTGATTAATATTTTGCCCAAATGAACCGAGCTGAGCCTCGGTTCCTTTTCCAGGCTCTGAAGAGCTCGCTCGCTTCCCTGCCAGCTGCAGTTGTCAGAGCACACGTGACGTGTTGTGTTCCTGGGTATTATTCCTGTTTGGTCGTTGGGACTAGTTAAATTCGAGTAAAAGCTTCAGACTTAGCTGAAGGTGCCCCAGAGTTTGCGGATGACTTTGGGACGCTAGTCCATCCAACCAAACTGCGATTAAAGCATCTGTAAGAACAAGGGAACGTTGTGGGGATTGGGAGGGTTATTGGGAGTGCCCAGATGCTGTGAGGTAATCACTTGGAGCATAAAGAGTTAATTGTTGTGTGGTGGGGTTTTTTTCTTTTTTTTTTTTTTCTCTCCTCAGAAGGGCAGGAGGTTTTGACAGACTGTAATCTGAACAAATCCCAGGAAATGGGAAGTATGGATAATGCGGAAGATATGAAGGAACACAATCAGTCTAATGAAGAAGCAGGAGGTAAACTGGAGATTGAATTCTGAAAAATAATAGTTATATTGGGTTGTTGAGGTTTTTTTATTGGTCTGATTATGCTATGAGAGTGATTAGAAAGCTTATTCTGGATCATGGCTCAGCTTTGCCTGCATGTCTGTGAAAGGAATAACGATACCATTACAGTTTAGAGCATTTTAACATGCTCTGAAGGAGGAGCAACTGTTTTCCATCCAGGAAGCTCACGTGCATTTTGTAAAGGTTGCTTTTGCAGGATCTATGAAATAGAGACATCAAGAAAAAAAATAATGTGAGCTCTTTGTGTATTGTAGCCTACAAATTCTTAAAAGTAGTGTGTGTATGAGAAATGTGTGTTAGGACTGCACGTTTTGTTGATGTTATTAAGCTACTCTGATACCTGATAAATAACTTGGCAATTTAATTTTATTTTTGAAAGAAAGAACAAGTTACCTCAAATTCATAGGACAACTCAGCCCTCTAGAATTTAGAACCGTAGCAGTAATCCTCTGCTTTAAGCTGTGAGTAACCAGAAGGCTGGTCAGTTTACCATGGTTATTGTTTAATTTGAACAATAAACCCTTCCTATACAACTCTGAAAGGGACCACAGGTATTAATAAAATATGAAAACAATCTGCACTATTTTTAATTTCAAAGAAGTCCTACATGAATGCCTGTTTCTGTGTATCTTTAAAAACCAGTAGGCTCTTCACTTAGAAGATAAAAGAAGCAGCTCTTGGCCTCAGCAATCCTACAGGCCCTCAGAGAGCAGGATTGGTCTGACACAGATGGAGAGCAAGAGGCTTTGACCTTCTTCCGTGATCTAGAGCTCATAAACCGAAATCACAGCAGTAATTTTCTGCTGGTGAGCTGAGCGTGTTCATTTATGCCAGTTTTCAACCACAAGCAGTGAAAAATGCTGCCTGGCAGAGGATGTGGTGCAGATATACCGGGGAAAGACACACAGTGTTTTACCAGTTTCGTGTTGCCTTTCAAGTACTGCATGTCCACGGCCGTGGTGTCAAGACAGATGATGCCTGTGGCTTGGGCTGGTAGGTTTGAGGCGCGTTTACGTATCGCACGAATCAAGTAAAACACTGAAGAATTGCCTCTGCTTTGGTTGCCCAAGGAGCCTTACTTGTTCCCTGTGACATAAATGTGATTATTTTGGACTAAAATGAAACGTTCAGAGGTTCGACTTTTGCATTATTCAAGATGAAATTTGCATCTCTTTGTGGCCAAAGTACAAAATGACATAAAACACTCACAAGAGTGCTGCACTAGCAAAAGAGTCCGTGGGGAGAGTGAGACGACCCTCACTTTAGGTATCTACAGCACCGGTGTCTGGCTCGGTGCTGGTGTCTTGCCTTCCTTGACTGCCCACGGACAGCTCGCTCACAGATTTTCTGACCCCCAGCGCCACTCGCTGCAAACAATTCCACCCATCCCATTATAGACCCCTTTTTTCCAGAGGGCTTCAATTACGGCGATTACTGAGAGTAGGGCGAACGATTAGGCAGGAGGCTGTGGTAATATGTTAATTAAAAGCTTGATGGAGAAGAAGAAAAAAATAAGAAAGAAAAAAAACCCCTTTTTGCCTCAAGGGAGTGGAAGCTGCATGCTGTGGTGCACATGGCGTGTGCTTGCTGCAACCATGAAAATACACCGTTCCCATGGTGCTTCCTGTATCTAGTCTGAAAAGAGACGAGCAGTGAGACGGAGAGGGGAGGAAGCTCTCGGCTCCCTCACGTGCCGGAGAAGAAGAAAAAAATAAGAAAGAAAAAAAACCCCTTTTTGCCTCAAGGGAGTGGAAGCTGCATGCTGTGGTGCACATGGCGTGTGCTTGCTGCAACCATGAAAATACACCGTTCCCATGGTGCTTCCTGTATCTAGTCTGAAAAGAGACGAGCAGTGAGACGGAGAGGGGAGGAAGCTCTCGGCTCCCTCACGTGCCCTCAACCCTGTTACTTTTGGTGGCCAAAGTTGAGGCGTCCTTCGCTGAAAAATGAAATGAAAAAGGCCGCCTTCTTTCCTATGGAAGTTGCAGTCGAGTGCAAGTGTTTAATTATGTCTTAATTCCCTCATCCGTTGAGGCAGACAACTTTTCGGGTGTTATGAATGTCAGGCAGCTTTCATGGTTGTGAAATAAAAAGAAATAGAAGCCACATCTGTGGTTTATGGATGTTAATTGCTGCTGCATCTAGGTGTGTGAAAGGGGGCGGTTAAAAGGCTGGAGGGAGACAGGAGAGGATGACAAACCCTCGCCTCGGCGCGCACTGAGGTTCCAGTGGTGCTGCGAGCACACGCACTTATCTGCTCGAAAAGGAAGTGCCGTTTTTTATCAGAATATTACATCTCCCAAGCCCAGATCGAGCCCTGCCGCTCATGGGACTCAGGGGTTATCTCACAACATCAGCAGTACCGAGCTGCAGAAGTTCACTTGACAGGGGATTTCTGTAAGTGTTAAAACCAGGCAAGGAGTCTGCTTAACTGTGTCAGGCCTCGCTGCTTTGGTGGCTACGGCTGAACTGAAAGTCGCTTCTGAGCCTTATCAACAGAAGATCCTCTTGGCTTTGTTCTCGCTCTACAGCCGGTAACTCTCTT